TGAGCTTCTTAATCCTGACTTTTAATTTGATTGCACTGTGGTCTGAGAGACTGTTTGTTATGATTTCCATTCTTTTGGATTTGCTGAGGAGTGTTTTACTTCCAATTATGTGGTCAATTTTAGAATAAGAGTGATGTGGTGCTGAGAAGAACATATATTCTGCTGATTTGGGGCAGAGAGTTCTGTAGATGTCTATTAGATCTGCCCGGTCCAGAGCTGAGTTCAAGTCCTGGGTATCTCTGTTAATTTTCTGTCTTGTTGATCTGTCTAATATTGACAGTGGGGTGTTAAGTTTTCCACTATTATTGTGTGGGAGTCTAAGTCTCTTTGAAGGCCTCTAAGAACTTGCTTTATGAATTTGGGTGCTCCTGTATTGGGTGCATACTGCAGTCCTTGTTGCATTGATCCCTTTACCATTATATAATGCCCTTCTTTGTCTTTTTTGATCATGATTGGTTTAAAGTGTGTTTTATCAGAGATTAGAATTGCAAACCCTGCTTTTTTTTTTTTTTTCCTCCCATTAACTTGGTAAATAATCCTCCAGTCCTTTATTTTGAGCCTATGAGTGTTGCTGCATGTGAGATGGGTCTCCTGAATACAGCACACAGATGGGTCTTAACCTTTTTCAATTTGCCAGTCTCTGTCTTTTAACTGGGGCATTTAGCTCATTTACTTAAGGTTAATATTGTTATCTGTGAATTTGATCCTGTCATTATGATGCTAGCTGGTTATTTTGTCCATTGTTTCTTTATAGTACTGATGGTCTTTAAAGTTTGGTAGTTTTTGCAGTGGCTGGTATTAGTTTTTCCTTTTCATATTCAGTGCTTCCTTCAGGAGCTCTTGTAAGGCAGGCCTGGTGCTGACAAATTCCTCAATATTTGCTTGTCTGTAAAGGATTTTAATTCTTCTTCACTTATAAAGCTTAGTTTGGCTGGATACGAAATTCTGGGTTGAAAATTCTTTTCTTTAAGAATGTTGAATATTGGCCCCCCTTTCTTCTGGCTTGTAGTGTTTCTGTAGAGAGATCTGCTGTTAATCTGGTGGGCTTCCCTTTGTGGGTAATCTGACGTTTCTCTCTGGCTACCCATAACATTTTTTCCTTCATTTCTATCTTGGTAAATATGATGATGATGTGTCTTGGGGTTGCTCTTTTTGAGGAGTATCTTGGTGGTGGTCTCTGTATTTTCTGAATTTGAATGTTGGCCTGTTTTGCCAGGTTGGGAAAGTTCTCCTGGGTAATGTCCTGAAGAGTGTTTTCCAACTTGGTTCCATTCTCCTCATCACTTTCAGGTATACCAATCAAACATAGGTTTGGTCTGTTCACATAGTCGCATATTTTTTGGAGACTTTATTCATTCCTTTTCATTCTTTTTCCTCTAATCTTGTCTTCATGCTTTATTTTATTAAGTTGATCTTCAATCTCTGATATCCTTTCTCCTCTTGATTGATTTGGCTATTAATACTTGCATATGCTTCACGAAGTTCTTGTGCTGTTTTTCAGCTCCATCAGGTCATTTATGTTCTTCTCTAAACTGGTTATTCTAGTTAGCAGTTTCTCTAACTTTTTTTCAAGGTTCTTAGCTTTCTTTGCATTGGGTTAGAATATGTTCCTTTAGCTTGTAGGAGTTTGTTATTACCCATCTTCTGAAGCCTACTTCTGTCAATTCATAAAACTCATTCTCCATCCAGTTTTGTTCCTTTGTTGGTGAGGAGTTGTGATCCTTTGGAGGAGAAGAGGCATTTTGGTTTTTGGAATTTTCAGCCTTTTTTGCTGGTTTTTCCTCATCTCATGGATTTATCTACCTTTGATCTTTGATGTTGGTGGCCTTCAGATGGGGTTTTTGTGTGGACGTCCTTTTTGTTGATGTTGATGCTATTCCTTCTGTTTGTTAGTTTTCCTTCTAACAGGCCCCTCTGCTGCAGGTGTGCTGGAGTTGGTTAAGTTTGCTGGAGGTCCACTCCAGATCCTGTTTGCCTTGGTATCACCAGTGGAGGCTGCAGAACAGCAAACATTGCTGCCTGTTCCTTCCTCTGAAAGCTTTATCACAGATGTCAGCTGAAGCTTTCTTGTCTGAGCTGTCTGTCAACCCCTGCTGGGAGGTGTCTCCCAGTCAGGAGGCACAGGGGTCAGGGACCCAGTTGAGGAGGCAACCTGTCTTTTAGCAGAGCTTGAATGCTGTGCTGGGAGATCCGTTGCTCTCTTCAGAGACAGCAGGCAGAAACATTTAAGTCTGCTGAAACTGTGTCCACAGCCACCTCTTCCCTAGGTGCTCTGTCCCAGGGAGATGGTAGTCTTATCTATAAGCCCCTGACTGGGGCTGCTGCCTTTCTTTCAGAGGTGCCCTGCCCAGAGAGGAGGAATCTAGAGAGGCAGTCTGGCTGCAATGGTTTTGCTGAGCTGCGGTGAGCTCTGCCCAGTTTGAACTTTCCAGTGGCTTTGTTTACACTGTGAGGGGAAAATCGCCTACTGTAGTCTCAGTAATGGTGGACTCCCCTCCCCTCACCAAGCTCCAGCATCCCAGGTTGACTTCAGACTGCTGTGCTGGCGGTGAGAATTTCAAGCCAGAATTTCTTAGCTTGCTGGGCTCCATGTCAGTGGGATCCGCTGAGCTAGACCACTTGGCTCCCTGGCTTCAGCCCTCTTTCCAGGGGAGTGAACGGTTCTCTCTCTGGCATTCCAGGTGCCACTGGGGTATGAAAAAAACTCCTGCAGCTAGCTCAATGTCTGCTCAAACAGCCACTCAGTTTTGTGCTTGAAACCCAGGACCCTGGTGATGTGGGCAACAGACGGAATCTCCTGGTTTGTGGGTTGTGAAGACTTTAGGAAAAGCATAGTATCTGGGCCAGCATGTACTGTTCCTCAGTGCACACTCCCTCAAGACTTCCGTTAGGTAGGAGAGGGAGTTCTCCACCCCTTGAGCTTCCCGGGTGAGGCGATACCCCACCCTGCTTCAGCTTGTCCTCCGTGGGCTGCACCCACTGGCTAACCAGTTCCAATGAGATGAACTTGATTTCTCAGTTGGAAATGCAGAAATCACCAGCCTTCTGTGTTGATCTCCCTGGGAGCTGCAGACCGGAGCTGTTCCTACTAGGCCATCTTGCCAGCCACTCTAATCTGTCTTATTTTTTGCAGTAAGAATGCTAACTGTCACGGTCTAGTGCAGCATGAAATCTTCCTAACAACTATGAACCTAGAGGGATTTATGGACTCAGCTGCCCTACCTTCCCCCTAACTGTAGCTTAAGCCTCGCCGCCTTGTGTATGGTAGCATGCAAACTTTGAGAATCATCAACTACAGAGTGCTAGAGTTAGGAAGGGTGAGAGAGGAGGGAGATTCAAATACTGCAAGAGATTCTCTGGTTCCAGAAAATTCTGAAATATTTTCTTTATTTTAAAGCATTTTAATATAGCTTTTATGCTTAGTAAAAGGAAGCATTTAAGTAAAAATTAAATGTTTCATTTGTACAGGTTATCAAACCACTTTCTATACTTAAAACATCAGCTTGGCTATTTTTGAAATGAAATTGTTGTGATTTAATTGCATGGGCGCACACACATATTCTCCTTATCTCTTTCATGGAATAGGAGAGTTCAAATTTCCAGTGTCTCAAATTGCCAAGGTTGTGTGTTTATAAAAGTATAAAACTGCACATGGTTTCAAAAGTATACTGAACAACAAAAAAGCATTCAGTTAAATCTATATTATAGTATCGATTTAAATTTGTTTTCTTACTGTCTTTAGTTTATTCTCTGGTTGATCAAGCTAAGTCTTAATAACTGTTACACCTAACAGAAAATAACCTGGTTTAAAACCCAGTCACTCACTACAAATCTCACTCCAAACCATAACTAAATGAAAACAGCCATGCACTTGGGGGTAGTTCTTGTTCTGACTTGCACATTTTGTTTACTTGGGCATGAACCAGGTGACCGAGACCTTTAACTTGAATCTTTCATAAGAACGATTTACTAAAGTCCAATTTTTTTACATGCAGGCAGAGAAGATACATACTGGGTTCTTACCAGGGAAGTGTTTTTAAGCAAGATGTTTTGGACCAAAAAGTTTTTAAAATTTCATGGAGATTTTCATAATGCCAAATATATGCTTAAGCAAATAAGGGAACAGAGGTCGCATGGCTGTGATGTTAGAACTGATGTCTATTGCCAGAAACTGAGTTCTCTATCAGCAAAAGATGTGCTTGTCTTATTCTAGACTATGTCCCCCCAGGGTCTAGAGGAGAGCCTGCTAAATGATATGTACCCAGGAAATATTTTCAAAATAAATCAAGGAATGACATGGCTTACAGAAGTATAGGTGTTAGTATAGTCATTAGTTGAGCTTTTACTTTTTTTCTGGGAACACTGAGGGAGGACTCACAGCTACCCATGGGTGTTGACACTCCACTTACCTCTCATATCACCCTGGGAAATAATCTCCAGTCTCATCTGTGAACAGACAAAGCCACCATCTATGCACTGGACAGGAAGAAAACTGTCCCATGTGCCCCAGCATGGCAGGGATCACCAGTTTGCAGGATTCAGCTTAGGGTTCCCGGATATGCTATGAGCAGATCCGTTTCTGTGATGCATGCTCATGTCTGGGCACTTGGCAGATTTAGGAAGTGGTGAGGAATCAGAGAGTGGGTGAGTCAGGAGTGAAGAGGCCCCAGTATGAGAAAATGGTGAGCACTGTTGCTCATTCACCACTATTCTCTTATTCACATGGCACTAAGGGTAAGTGGCTGCCCAGGGAGAGAACCTAGAGAATGTGAAGCAAGCACTTCAGGTTCAGGACCTTGGGGGATGCCCAAGTGCTCCCCGAGGGATAAAGCCAGGAGGGAGATGGTGCTTTGGCTGATGACTCACAGCTAAATGAGTTAATTGATTTTTTAATTTGTTTTCATTAGTGGGATTTGTGTCCAAAAAAAAAAAAAAAAAAGGAAAGAAAAGAAAAGAAAAACAAAACAAAGCCATGTATGCCAGCCAGTAGAGGTTCCTACCTTGTAGATTGTAGGCAGACAGGTCTCTTGAGTCCATGTCCCACTGGAGCATTCCTCCGATCGCACACATTTATCGTGGCACCAGCCACACTGCACAAAGGAAGGAGCAGAGAGGCACTGACTGCAGGACTGGAAATGTCTGCAGCCCAAACCATTCAATGGGATCTTGGTGATCTGTGAAGAGAAGGGGTGGAAAGAGCTTCCAGAGGGGTATCAAGTGTGTTCAGTAATTATAAAGTAAGTACACAAAGGTACATGTAATATTATTTGATGGAATTTACTAGACTCAGAACCTATGTGTGCAAATCATGTAATAACAGGGATTAAAATTTCAAAAATCTGATTCCTTCCTTTCCTCTATTGTTAGCAGTTATGTGAAAAAGTAACATTGTCCAGTGAGCGTAGCATTGTCATCATTGTGCCCTGTCTGAGATGATTTTAAAATAACAAGAAAGTATAATTTAGGTAGTGGGAAAACACACTTGAATCTCTGGAAATTCTAAGTAAGGTTACATATCATTCTGGCATCAAGATGCACGTTCTCTCAGAGAAAGGGATTATTGGCTGGAGTCGGATTCCAATGCACATTTCCAGGATTTATCCGCCTGTACTAGAGTTCTGCCATTAGGACTGTAATTCTCATTCTGTGTGTTTGTTTTTCTTGTTGAGAAATATGGGACAAAAGGAGAAGTTTTGAAAAAGGCCTCCCTTAGGTCTAGTCTTCCTTGAATAACGAATTAACTCGATGTCAGAAGATCTCTGGAATACTCACTAAAGAAGCTAATGGAGGAGGGGTAAATTTGAGACGAAGAGAGATGTTATAAAGGGCCAAATGACACTGGTTGTAAATATCTATTTGAAAAACCGTATCTATGGAAACTCCCTGTGGGAACAGCTTACCTTCTTCCCAGTGACAACCAGTGTATAGCCATTGTGGTTTAACGGATGCTCCACGATCACTTCTGGAGACACCGGGTGGGAGTCCAGGAGAAAATTCACATGAGGGGTTGATGGTACTGATCGAGAAACCACAATCTAATAAGGAGAAAAGTTATAACACCCTTATTCCAACAAGCTCAGTTTAAATATAAGTGGAAAATGTGGATGATAATAGTAATAACAGATTAGCAGGGCTTGTGGGTGTTTGAAATGAAGACCCAACAGTTCCTCTCATTGTAAGTTAATACGTCATCTTCTAATCTCTTGCCTTGAAGTCAAATTATCTGAACCCTGAAGACAGACTTTGCCTATGATCTTTTAATGGTTTCAAGGGAAGGAGACCTTTCAATTGGCAGCACATACAGAGAAATCCCCACAATTGTATTGGGAAATGGAGGAACCAAAACTCTTTCCAGAAAGAAGACACTGTACATGCTACAATGATTGTGAATTATTTTTAAATCTATCCTCTTAATCCTCCCCTCCAGGCAGTTTCCCTTGATGTTATGGTTAAGAGTAGTGGACGCCGAGTTGGGAAAACGAGCTAGTTTCAGCTGTGCTACTCTTAAGCCATATTTATAGATCTTTTCAGGTCAAAACAGGCCCCCAGCTACTTTGAAATCATGTGTTGTATTTTTTTACAAACCACTGTCCCATGATATGTTATTACTTAGATTATAAAACTCTACTTCTTGGTCTGGCTTTAAAATAAGGCCTGATGGTTTTAACAATGCCTGGGAAATGAGGGCTGATGATCAATGTCATTTTTGTCTTCAGGTTTTTAAAATTTGGGGTTTCCCAGCGAACTAATTTCCATTAGAACCCAGTAAATATTAATAAAGTTCAGAGAGTGTGATTGACAACAATTGGGATGAAATCCTAATGATTATCTTAGATGAACACTTAGATTTTAGGATGGTGGTGGAGCTCTCAGAGAAACTTTCACTCTGGTAGATCACTGGGTTGCATATACATGAAGGTGCAAGAGGCTCAGCATAGCTCTAGGCTTGAAATCTACTTTGTGAAATTGCCCAGCATCTCTAATAAACTTTCATTGCATTGAACATGCATTTACTCGAGGTGAGTATAAAAATAATAGGAAAACATGGACATCTGTGAGATTCCGAATAGTTACATAGCCACTACCTCTGCTTCAGCTTTCTCATTCGCATAATGGGAATGAAAATTACAGGAGTAATTACCTGCTTTGTACTCTAAGAAACACATACAACGCATAAATGTCCTGGGGAACAATTGCAAATTTTTTTCTTCAGCACAATAAAGGAGCCAAGTAGCCTGAAGCAATTTGAGAAGATTCTCAAAGTACCTAATTTGCTCTTAGAGAGTAGATTGTTGATAGAGAAACTAACCAAACTCAGGTACAGTCGTTAAAGTTAAACATCATGACATTTGTGCTCTAATGTTTGTTCTACCCTAAACACTCAATGCTTTCAAAACATCTCCATTAAAAAGGGTGGTTATATTTGCACAGAACTTAAGTGATGGATCAAGGGTCACTTGGTCAGGATAGGGAAGGTTGGAAGCTATTGTTATTTCCTAAATTTGGGGCCCAATAGGTATTGGGGACCTCTGCAGGCAAAGTGCATGGAAATTCAATTACCAATCCCACCTCTCTTTGGGTACTGGTTACCAGCAGAATATCAGATGTCAGACTTCCAAAGCCTCTATCTCAAATTATCCAGATTTTGGTTACCCAATTTTGCAATCTTAACTCCCTTCTGGTGCTCACTGCTTCTCATTTTTCCTATACTCCTGCTCAATACCGCTCCCGTCCCCACCATATTTCTTAGGATGTTGCAAATCACTACAAACTGCAAAGATAAAAAAATAAAATAAAAACAAAAACAAAAGCAAAAAAACTCCTTTTGTCACACACAAGTCAAACACAACACAGAACACCAGGCAATCTAACATCCTGACTTTGTTTTCCATCTCATTCTGTGCTTTGCACCTCACTGAAGATTATTCATCACTATGAACCTTCCAATGGACATCTGCATTCCATGTCTGTCTCCCTGGTTTCCTCCATTCTCCTTAGACCGGCTACATAACTATCACCTCCTAGAGCCCTTTTGTTTTCTCCTACCTTCTTTAATACTATTTCCTGAATCTCTAATAAGCAATCTCTTCTTAATTACTAGTTCATCACCTTTGACTTTCTGAAATATCTGAAGCCCATCCAGATAGTCCTTTCCCAGAAAGAATTAACCGTTCTCTTTCTTTTCGGAAGCTATTTGCATCTCTGGACTTGGATTGACTGATCTGTGCATTCCCTTTTAAAGAGCTTTGTCTGAAGAGCACCAAACCTATGGTACTTTCATAATGGATAACTGAGCCACACATTGTGCTAAGTGCTTTAAATGGATATTTCATTTACTCCTCACAATAATCCTATAAGGTAGGTACTATTATTTTCCTTAAAGAAAAATTAGACAGAGAATTTCATGTAGAAAGTACAAGAGTCAGATTTCCACAGAGCTTCATCTGAGGCCAGAATCCATGTGCCTGACCTCTTCTTAAACACTCAACTGCTAGACTCTTGGAGCGCCAGAGTAAATACCAGTAAAAAAGCTTCAACCCGGAGCTCCCAAGAGCCACTTGTGAGTAAAAGTACTAAAACAAATTTCACAATATATTTGCCTTGCCAAATACTCCATGTTTCAGTAATTTTAGCTGCACAAGTTAAGTGTGCCTAAGGAGAAAGTCTCTGCATCTAAATAGTTTTTGATAGCATAGAGAAAATGCTACTAGTACACTTCACCAAGCTCTACTTTTGATCATGAGTTAGCAGGATTGTTGCTCGCTATAGAAAATGGGATGAAGATGAGAAGAAAGGAATGCACTTGGAAAAGTGAGGTGACTTGGAAGTGAGAATGCCATTTGGAATTTTGCGCAGGGATTGTACCGCAGATACAAATGCCTTTTTAATTGATCATTAACTCGTTCTCTGCAGAGATACCTACTGCTATAAATGTTTTTCTATCCCTAATTCCTTACTTTCTCTTATTCCAGAATTCTAAATAATTGATTAACCACTTTAACTCTCAAAATACCCCTGAAGCAATGTGTGCCAGAAATTGGGAGTTCCTTTTGGTTGTCATGAAGATATTTCTAGGGACAGAACTAAATTTGGCATCTAAATGTAATTCTTATGATAAATAACCTAACAATCTTAGAAGAATTAGCATAAAATAGAAGACCAGCAATTACCTTTTGAGTTTCTACTGTTCAACAACTAATCTTTAGTATTTAGGTCACAAAATCTTTTTTCGTTAATGGTCTTGAAAATACAGGGCTAACACATTTGGGACAGGGCAGAATGTGAAGTTACTGGATGGTGTTGTTTTGATCTCACATAGCCTCTCCCAGATAGGACATGGGGAAGAAATACATGTACAAATAACACTGTGTGGCTAGGCCCCCAAATTTGTAAATCTGAGCAAAGAAACTTTGTGTGAGATATCCACAAATATCTCCTCACCTAAGGTAAAGGCCGTGTCTCCTCACCTCACCTATACAGTTTTATCTTTAATTAAACTGTTTCATTAATAGAATTACACTTTGAGAATGATGAATACAATTTAACATAAAATGTTTGTATGTGATTTCTGTATACTACCCCCATTGTTTTCAAAGTGAAAAACTGAACAGTTTTTAAAATTTTTTATTTTTTGAGAAAGGGTTATAGAATGCTTTCATTATCTCAAAAAGAAGCCCCACATCCCTTAGCCATCATTCCGTCTCCACATAACTTCTTAGCCCCTGACTACCATGAATCTACTTTCTATCTCTATAGATTTTTCCCATTCTGGATATTCCATACAAATGGAATCCTATGATGCGTGGTCTTTTTGTGTCTGGTATATTTCACTTAACACAATGTTTTCTTTTTTTTATAATTTTTTTTTAAAATTTTTTAAATTTCTTTGAGACTGAGTTTCACTCTGTCACCCAGGCTGGAGTTCAGTGGCAAGATCTCAGTTCAATGCAATCTCTGTCTCTTGTGTTCAAGCAATTCTCCTGCCTCAGCCTCTTGAGTAGCTAGAATTACAGACGTGGGCCACCGTGCCCATCTAATTTTTATATTTTTAGTAGGGACGGGGTATACTCATGTTGGCCAGGCTGGTCTTGAACTCCTGACCTCAAGTGATCTGCCTACTTTGGTCTTCCAAAGTGCTGGGAAATACAGGTGTGAGCCACTGTGCCTGGCCTTAATTTAATGTTTTCAAGGTTCTTCATGCTCCTTTTTATCACCAAATAATATTTCATTATATGGATATGCCACCTTTTATTTATCTATTAATCACTAGATGGATGTTTGGGTTTTCTGCTTTTTGGCTATTGTGAATAATGCTGCTGTGAACATTGATAACTTTCTGTGTGAACATATATTTTCCCTTCTCTTGGGTACCTAGAAGTGGAATTGCTGGGTCTTACGGCAACTCTAGTTGATCCTTAAGGTAGTAACAAGCCATTTTCTACAGTGGCTGTACCATTCTGCATCCCCACTAGCAGTGTATAAAGGTTCCAATTTCTTGACATCCTCACTAAAACTTGTTATTTTTAAAATTTTCTTGATTCTAGTCATTCTACCGGGTGCGAAGTGGTCCTTTGTGGTCGTTTTGGGTTACAGTTCTCTGCCAAATGTTTTCTTAAATTTAAGTAAGAGGGTTCACAGCCTTCCTCCCATTCCTCTGATTCAAGATAATACTTAGGCATTCCCTGCTTGATACGCCAGTCAGTGTTCTGAAGAACATTTCCTGATGGTCAGACTGGACTTCTGTGAAACGGGGTCCTGGAGGGGCTGGAGGCAGGGAAGGGGTGGAAGAAACAAAAGTGGCCTCTCCTTAGGAAAAAGTGGCCTCTCCTTAGGAAAAGCAGTCACAGCAGGAGGGGAGGCACTCCCAGGTGCCTGTGCTTGGCAGAGTTGGTGAAGGGTCGGTGGCATATCCTATGGGAGGGTGCAGAGCAGAAGTGTTGGAGGCAGTGCACGGTGGGGCTGGAACAGCGTGTGTGAATGGACCTCTTGAAGGAGAGGAGAGGCCCCTGGAAGTTAAGGGTTGAACGAGACATAG